CATTCGCTTGGCAGCGTTGAGTTCCCAAGGCGCGTATTTCACGTCGCTTGGCCTGGCAGCGTACCCAAAGCGTTTAAAACCATTGGAAACACAACCGCCACAATGGTCATCAATTAGGAGTGCGATTAATAGTAAGAACACACATGTACCCAACTGCGATGTTGTGGGCTACGCCATCAAGATCGCATCCAACATCCAAGATCAAGTGGCACAGTGTACTGCATGGCCAGACGATACTCTTTAAATAACCGGGAAACAAGTTTGTCACAATAACTCCTCCTTAATCAATCAAATTAAATTCCACAAAAAACTCCTCAATCAATGTATGTCCCACCGTTGCGCCTCTCCAGCCCTCCGGCTCGTCGTCATCCACATGATGTACCTCCATCCACGCCAGCAATCATGGCGGTGAGGCGGCACCCCACGTCGCTGACGGCGCTCCCTATCGAGGTGCAAATTGAGATCGCCGGCCACCTCGCTGCAACCTCGGAATAGCCCATGGATGACCTCCGTAGCCTATGGGGGATGTGCTCGTCCATGCGCCGCATCTGCGGTGACCTCGCCGTCGGTCAGCACGTGGCAGTGGATCGGTGCAGATGCGGGGCAAGGTCATCGAACGACCTCGTCAACTACTTTGCCCTCCTTGCTAGGCTGACCCAAGTTAACAACCTAGAGGCTTGCTTGCTCATCGGGATACAAACTGTATTCACGGAAAACCATAGCCCCCGTCCATTCCTCGACTATCTCACCCGCGCCGCTGATGGTGGGCACAATGTGGCGGCCTATCTGGTCACCATATTCCTCTATAGGCACAATGGCGATGCCGGCGATGAAAACACTGCGAGGCAGTACATAAGACGAGTCGAGGGTGAGGAAGAATCACGAGCGGCGGTGGCGAACCAATGAGTAGGCAGCTAAGCAACAAGGGGTGTCGGCTGTGCCATGAGGCGGCCACAAAAGTGATCCACAAAACAACATGGTCGCGCAACAAGTGGCCTCCTCCGCTGCCGGCACAGGTACGCGGCAATCTTCCGTGCGTAGGCGGCAACTGCGGCATTCAAAAGGATGGGAACAAAGGACTCTATTTTGTAGTGAGGGCTGTAGGCTTCGCCGTGAAATTATTTTGTTCAAAAAGGCAATTGAAATAGGAAACTAATTCACTCTTTACATGCGAGAGTGAATTAGTTAGGTTTTGATTTTCGGTTGCGAGAGTGAATAGGAAACTACTCTGTAATTTAATAGAACACTACTCCATAATTTAATATAAGTGTTCTACTACAATACTCTTCGCGCTACTTACGCTGAATCGCCGTATGAAACGTTGACGGGAGCTATCACACCACTGAGAATTGATGTCTAATTCCAGATTCATCGCATAACAGAGTTCATCCGATCAAGTCTCGCGTTACATTTTTTGTGAGGAATTAAACTAAAAGCCAAGCAGAAGACAGTACACGTGACCACGTCCCTCTATTAAAAGCCAAGCAGATGAGCCATTGGTGTTGAAATGTTATTGTAACACCACCATAATGCATGTGTGCACAAAATAAATAATTTAATTTGCAAACAAAACAAAGATGGCACACTAGTTTAGCTCAAATAATGACAACATTCATCATTGTCCATAGACAAGCAAACAACATTGGTCCATTTAAAATGCATGACAGAGAGATACATCAAATGCAACTTTATTTACTGCTCTGCTAATAAATCCAAGAACAAGAGAACATAAGGAAGATAATATGGTCTATAGATTAACTCTTTTTTAACGCTATGAATACCATACCGAAAGACCCGGGTAGGGATGATATGAACTTTTATGTGGTCCATATCATATGCGATGATTGTTCTATTCTTCCCAGCAAAGAAAATCAAATTCTATTCTGGGTGAACTATAATCACTGAATAGTCATCAACACAATCCACGAAACCAAATTTAATATTAATGCTTCTAAACATGATTCCTGTGCTGACTGTATGCTTCAATGTCCAATTATTAATACTATAGTCTTCAATGATCCAGATTAAAAGCTTGGAATCATTGGGACCACCAACAGTATATACACACAAGTGACCCTGAGGTTGATGCATGGAGTATTGAAGACCACTAGGCCTATCAATTTTCCTCCATGTGTTTCCCTCTATATCCACAACAAGTATCTTAGAGTACCTCCCAGAGTCCCCCATAATGTGCAGACAACCATTGAGAAACACACTTGGTGATCTTGAAAATGTCACATCAGTCACTTCGCCCCATTTAGATTTTTTATAGATCCAAGCTGTAGTTTTAGATAAGTAGATCTCCACTCCTGCGCACAAACCATCGACATCCACATATTCAATCATATGGAAGTACGAGGAGGCTATCGGATCAAACCCCAAGCGAGCCTCACCATTAGAATGGCCAACATCATGGGTGCTAGGCGGTAGTATATTAAACTTTTGGCTCATTGGATTGCAGACGACATAGCGGTATCCAGCAGCCCCAAGGCACCAACATAGGATAGGGCCGTTACAGCAATATGAGACAGCTACATTACCCATGAGGAAGGGCAAGAAGGACAAGTCAGGGGGGCATTCACCGGTGACGCTGGTGAAGTTTCGCTTGCTGTTCTCGGTGTCATAGAAGAAGCCGGCCATAGTCTGGAGCAGCACCTAACGGTTGTCGAAGATGAGGTGCTTCCAGGAGCGATAGACATATTTGTAGGAGCACAAGGAGCGGGCTAGGAGGTGGCGGAGAATTTCAAGAAGGAGATCCTCTGTGAGGTTGGCCAATGTGTTCCTCTGGTTGGGGGCCGTCTCCATTTCAAAGAGCCTACAACAAAGATCCATTCCTTACTAATGAGATCTAAAGGGGAAAATAATCCGACAAAGATCCATCGGTGAAGTGCGAAAACATACCCTTGCCTTTGGATCTGACGGCGGCACGGTGCGAGGCGTGCAATGGTTCATACAGATTGTGAGAGGAACAATGCGCCGGCCATGCAGGAGGTGGCGGCGGCACAGCACGAGACGTGCAATGGTTCACATAAACTAGGAGAGAGGAACAATGCACCAACCTTGAAGATGGAGAAGTGGAAGTAACGGTGATGCAACTGTGTTGTGGGTAGTTAGGAAATAGAGAAATAACTTATGCTGAATTTACTACCATCGGTAGACCAAACGGTCGTGTAGGGCCGGCGGCCAGAACACCAATCCCAATCGGCTCGGCTTTTCATGCAATGGAGAAAATACCACTATCACATCTATTGTTAATCCGTGGTGGGTAGAAGTTTCAACGGCCAGTTTCCTTCCCTACGAGGCCTCCCTATCGGTCCAACCGGCAGTGGAAGTATCACACCGTCGCTTCTATCGCTACGGCAGTGAAAGTGGCGATAGTGAAAAATCAATCTGTAGTAGTGGTAACTAAATTACCAAAACTAAACCTGGACTTTTAGTGGGCTCATCGCATAACTGGACATGGTGCTGCCAGGTTACTCCTTTTGAGCTAGTATATGGACATGAAGTTGTGTTGCTTCTTGAAGTGAATTTGGATGTATAAATATTGGATAAACAAAATGATCTATCTGTTGTTATGTATCATGATATGATGATGGATAGCATCGACGTGGTGACCGATAAAAGAATAAATGCTCTGAAGGATATCAAGAGGGTCAAAGCTTGAGTTGCATGTCTTACAACAAGAAATTAAACAACAAATCTTTCCAAGTTAGAGAATTATTGTCGAAAACTATTATGTTGATTGTGATGAGAAGCAACAGGTTTGGCAAGTGGTCTCTGAGCTAGGAAGATCCATACATGGTGATCAAAGCAATATTTGGAAATTCATATTTGTTGGAGACATTGAAAGGTGAGCATCTTCCAAGAGCAATTAATGGGAGGTACTTGAAAAAATATTTCTCAAGTGTTTGGCAAGAAGCTTAAGTGTTGTCCAAACAATGGCCTATATACAATATCGCCTTTAGAACAAATATGTTTGATGCATGCATCGCCCTTAGAACAAAAGTCGATGGCTTGATATCGTTGCTTGCTATCATGTGTTTTTAAAACTTGCATGTGCTTCACTTTAAAAATAGGGTGCATATATATGTTGACAACAAAAAGGGTAAGAATTTGTTTGAGAGATTGAGATGTCAGAAGGTTTGATAGATGTCAGAAGTTTTGACCTATGAGGCTCTCTGGTCCTGGGAGTTGGGTGTTGGAAGTACCAAAGTTAATGGAACTTCCGACGTTCCTAGGTATCGGGAGTTGGCCATCGGAAGTACCTACGTTTGGCAAAAGTACCGTTTGGCAGAAATTCCAGCATTTGTCGAAACTTCTAGCAATTGTCGAAACTTCCGATGTCCCCTGTCCAAATCTAGCTATTCCCAATTCAGATCCAAACTCCTCTGATCCTGTGGGAAACTTACAAATTTGTTTTGGAAAAGTTTACTATTGGGATAAGACCACCCATCTATATATATCAGAGGATCATGGCCGATTGAGGTACAACCACACACAATCGATAAAAAATCAATCTACTACATTCTCCTACCTTTTACTCTTCCAATCCCCCTATTGTCCGGCGTCTCTCTCGACGAGGTTCGCCGGTGTTCTAGGTGGCTTCGCCGACCCTACAACCTCGCCATGCCCCTCTCTGTCAGGTCTTCTTGGGAGGTGTTTGCGAGCTTTTCGGGCGAAGAAGAAGTGTCAAATTGGCATGGTCATTTTGTTGGTCGGCCTTATTGTCTTGACCTATCTCCGCTGTGTGCTAGGTCGTGTATGACCTCGGGCTTGGTTAACCCTAGCTGGTGACCCTAATTGGTGTCAACAGTGCCTTAAACAAATCATCACACATTTAGGATTATGCAAAGAAGTGAAAAAACTAACAAATAGCTCTTATATATAATATAGCACTTTGTTCATAGTTACATCTTGTGCAATCTCTATGCTTTGGAGTCTTCACTTTGCAGCCCATGATTGCTACGTACAATAATTAGCTAAAGCAGAATGGGAATAGATTAAGGTAAGAGCTCCTTCCCGAACAACCCAGCAATTGCTCGGCCAGGATCGTCCTGCGTCAGTAGGGATTCTCCTACCAAAACCTGAAAACACGAATGACAACCAATTAGAAATGTCTGTACAAACCACTCTAAGACACCGCATTGACACATTATATGTGGAAATACACCATATGCTTTGGGTTCTTATTACTTATACAAAAACTTTTAAAATCATCCATATGTCTAAATATGAAGAGCATATTTTGACACTTAATTACTATACCTTCTATCAAAATGAATGACTTAGAGAATTTACCGCGAAAACGCCAGCATTTTGCACATATGCCACGTCATCAGGAGTGAACAGCCCAGACTCGCTCACAACCTGTATGTAGAAACATGCATATCCATATTGAGACTTAATACTTAATATCCAATTCTGAACTATTTAATTAATACGGAATTATACAAACAGTTGTATCAGATATATTATGTACTGAAGGAAACCAGTTGTATCAGATATGCATTATGATCCTGAACTTCTTTGTGTACCTTCGAGTTGTAATTAAGAAGTGCGTCATTTTCTAGATCTTATACCAAGTACAACATACATTGCATCATGAGAGTGATTGAGAATTAAAAACAAACCGTTGGAACACAAGGATCCTGTCAAGTTGGGATTGCCGAAAGTTACGTTGTTTTGAAGCGAAGACCTAGAGTACCTGCATTCGCTTCTTCTTGATGATGTCACCACGCTTCTCCAACAACATGTTTGTGTTGGCGGTATCGACTTCGAATGTCCCTGCAACGACGATGCATTGGTGAAGAAAGGACGATAGCTGGCTCTAAACAAAATCTCTACAGCTAAAAAGACCCAAATGTCATCGTTTTTGTCCCGCTAATCACCGCTTAGCCGCGTTAATCGCCCGCACGAGGCAATTTCCCTCCGACCCATACGGTAGTCCCCCTCACGTCGAACCTTGCATCCTCGCTCCCCACGATTCGCACGCTCCTCGCAATACCCGACTCGCCCCCGGCCCGTCCCTGTCACGCCAGGCGCTCGTCGACGACGCCGCACGCCAGGCGCTCGTCGACGAAGCCGGACACCACGACGCCACCCCGTACACGGCTCGGTGTAGACGGTTGAATGCGATTTGTTCCCCAATCTCCGCAGACGCTCCAACGCCCTCTGGTCCGGCCGCTAAGCCCGCCCGCCCCAATCCAGATCAGGTACGACGCCATGGCTCCTGGTGGCACGACGCCGTCGGCCCCTTGCCCGACAGAAGGTATGAACCGTGCCTGAGGATGTGGTATAATGTCTTTTATCCCAATTCACTTGTTCAAATCACTGAAAGTTATCAGCGGTAGGCTGCCACAAATTTTTTTTCATAGTGTTGGTTTATGGCTGACCGTGGTTGGTGTTACCATCCCCAGCAAATCAGAGCTGCTCCCACGCGTGCTGCGCTTTGGACTGCCACTGCCGGGTCACTGGAAGGGCAACAAGGGCAGGCGCAAACACGGGTGTGAGGTTGCGGCGAATACAGCTGCTACACCTCATGAGAGAGGTAGGCGGCGTGTGATTTTTGTTCCCCGTTTAATTTTTGCTGCCAGCCCTATGTGCTGCTCTTCACTAAAAGAACCATTACCCTGCCGCCTAGGTCGGAATCAATGAATTATTGTGGTCATGGTGAGCCGGTTATGGTTCTGTGAATCATCGAAACAGCTTAATGGTTCTTTGTCTCTTTGAATCATTGAAACAGCTTAAAAGGTGTCTTTTTCTTTAACTTCAGCTCATTTTACTGATTTACCTGTCTGACCATATAGTGTAGATGCCATTCTTTGATTCCTTTGGTAGTTACTGTTTTTCAAAACTGAATGGAATTCTTCCTCCATTCTCGAAGCATCAATTTGTGTATATATTTGCCTTGCCATTTATTGCTTGATTCACTGTCTCCCTGGTATAGGGTTCTGCGTTTCATACTGTCTTTGAATGAAACCGTACTTAGATCAGGTGGCTGCCTATATTTATCCAAAATTGATACTGATTATTTATCTCCAACACGATCTTCTCTTGATATCAATTTCACGAGCATATTTGGTAGATTTTGTCAAGTGCCATGCAGGTTTAAGTTAAATTGGTAAACAAGTCTCCAATACGATCTTCTCTTGATATCAATTTCACGAGAGAATTGAAGTAAGGTGATCGAGGATTTGAGGGACAACATTCTTATTATAAAATTTTGTGTCCCTTTCTTACCAATTTAGTTGTGTATAATGTCTTGGGATGATTAGGTTCTACACCTGTTCCTTTTTATGCAGTTGTGTATGTTCCTCTGATTTGACAAACTATTTGTTTTTTGTCCTTGTCTACCAGTGTGTTACTATGATAAATTAGCAGATCATACTTTTGATCCAAGTTTGCCTTTTCTTTTCCTCAGCTGTTGCCTGTTCTTTCCTGCTGTTCTTCACAGCAGTTTTCAGCTGGGATAACACATATATGGATCTAATCAAACATCATCCTTCTTGTAGGTGCTCTTCAATCCTTCAAGAAGTCTGGTGGTCAGCGATCCCCAACCATCTTAAAGGTAAGTGTCTACCTGATACTTTGTTTCTGTCACTCGCACTTTTGCAGGAGGGCCAACTGACTGGTAAGATGAATTGCCATTTCATACTTGGCTTGGACTAGCTGCACTCAAAACATAGTATCACTATTAGTTCTCCATAGTTTCATCAAGAATTTTGACACATAAATATACTGTATCAAATCATTGTTTACGGCTACTTGGCTAGGGCAAATCCTTCATTGCTTATCTGATTGGTAATGTGGCATCTCAAAACTTGAAATTTCAATAGTTGATATCACTGTTACATCAAAGATCGTTCACTACCTTATCTAAGGGTAGGACCAATAGAACATTGACATGTTGGTTACTGCCTTTAAGATTTTATCAGCGAGTGCTTAATATTTCTTTTTAGATATGTATATGGACTTATTACTACTCTTCTCATATATTAGTCTTAGACTGTCATGGCAGCTTCCTGAAAATTTACATGTCGCATTACAATATTCCTTGGTTTGTGGGATATGATAACTGCCAGTTCTTGACACGATTGTTACTTACAAATTGTTAAATTGCTATCAATAATTTTCCTTTATCTCTTCTTCCTTTCGGGATGGTAAAAGCTAATGCATGAGGCCATGAGGACAAAGAGAAGAGGGCAACAGGGAAGGAAGATCTCGAATTGGTGTTATCAAATGGCTGTGTCTGCCAATAGTTTTTTCTTGATGAATGAGTCCCAACTCATACATGTATTTATAAACTCAATATAACTCATACAGGAGGCAATTGCCATATCACTGATCGGCTATAGCACTACACACATGGTGTACCAAAATGTTGATTTACCATAGGGTACTTATAGTTTGTTAATAATCCCCAGTTCTTACATGTTCGTATTGCTTGTCTATTTGGCATAGAAGGCACCTGGATGAAAGTGGATGGTGGCATAACGGTCATTCAAGGAAGGGCACACCTAGCATCATATCACTGCATCAGTGCCTACTTGATCGAGGTATGAGATGATAATTGGGGTGCGAGCGGAGCGGCTGGGATGGGTGTGGTAGTGAGGGGCAGAGGTGGCGAGTGGAGGTGGTAGTTGCTGACCTTCGAACGGTTTGGAGGAGGCTGATGGCGGGGTTTGGTATCGGCATGGCGCTTGATGAAGGTGGTGATGGCAGTGGAATGGAAGCTAGGAGATGTAATGGGAGAGGAGAGCTAAGGGATGGGGTGGTTGACTCTTGATCCCACTATTAACGCAGACCGGTCGTGGCCTCTTGAAACGGGTCAGGACGTACAGTAGATGGATGTAGTGGAGCTAGTGAATGTCCAGAGATTGTATTGTATGTCATGAGTCCAAAGATTGTTCGTCATAAGATTCTATATATGTTTTACCCGTGTGATATACATCATAGAATTCTAAATAATACCCGTAAGCACAGGCACTCAACTAATATAATACAATATATAATTGATGTAACGATGGAATTGACGGAGCGAGAATAGAATATATATACCTAGACTGCGGTTGTTGATGCCGATAAGCTCAACACCATCTATCTTGAGGACGCGATCCAACTCCCTCTCATTATGAACCTAAATACATACATACAAACATGCAGGTAGAGTAATGTTTAGTATATATCGCAAATTAGATCGCATCGATAAGGTGGTATGGCCCGTAAAAGATATATATATATATATATATATATATATATATATATATATATATATATATATATATATATATATATATATATATATATATATATATATATATATATAACATATTGTCCCTCTATTTATTTTTATAAGGTGTATTCGAATTTGATTGTTTTAAAGACATACTATGACCATTAATCTCTCATTAATAATTATATTATATACGTTATTACAAACCAACATCTGACTAGTATCAATGATGATATATGGTTAATAATGTTTGCGATGTTAGACTTTGTATAATATAAAATCCCACGACATCCTGATCTGTTTTGAAATGAAGCGATTGTCATTGATGTACGTATATAATAAGTTGAACAGTGGATGATGAAAAACGTGCGTGTAAAAAAAAAGAAACGATAGCGTAGAAGAAGGTAACCTCAACAAGAGCTGTCATTCCAAGACTCTTGCAAATGCGAAGAAAGTAGGTGATGTCTATGTTCGGAAGCACGGCCGCCATCAGGAGGATCGCGTCGGCGCCTTTAGAACGCGCGTAGTAGATTTGCCAGACGTCGATGACGAACTCCTTGCACAGCAGAGGGCACTGCATGCATTATCCGCACACAAAGGCATTCAAAGTCAGGTGAGACAAACGAAAAATTCAACTCGGATCTTGAGACGACCACACGTAGAAGCATGTCTGCTTACATTCACACCAGAGTTGCGGACGGTCTCCAGGTTCTCAAAGCTCCCTTGAAAGTGCTTCTCGTCGGTGAGGATGCTCAGGCAGGCCGCGCCGTTCTTCTCGTAGGCATGCGCGATCTCCACCTGCCAAGAACTGGCAGCTCAGAATCCATGCAGCATGCATCGTACGTACGTACAGTCGTACAGTGACATATATAAGGAATACTGACCGGATCGAAGTGGTCCCTGAGCAGGCCCTTGCTGGGCGACGCCTTCTTGACCTCGGCGATGAGCGCGGGGACGCCGCCGTTACGATGGCATGCCCCGCGCAGCGCCCGGAGAAAGTCCCTCGGCGGCGGCGCGAGCTCCGCGGCCGCGCTCACGTCGCTGAGCGGCGTCCGAGCCATCCTCTGGATCACCTCCACCTCCTTGTCCCAGATGATCTGCTCGAGGATGTGGCGCGGGATGGCGCGGTCGGCGCCCGTGCCCTCGGAGGGGTACCTGGCGCGGAACCGGCGCCGGATCTGGATGCCCTGCGCGGCCGCGATGGCGTTCATGGACATGCCGCTGTCCCACTGGATCACCTCCGGCATGCTGAACAGCGGCGCGTCGTCCAGCGTGTACAGGACCGCCGACGACGACGTCGACACCCAGTCCTGCTTGGTGGCGCTGCTGCTGCTGCACCTGCAGCGGAAGGCTTGACCGTTGCGTAGGGCGGGACTAATAAAGGACGAGGAGGAGAATGATGGCAAGAAGACGGCGGCCGGAACACATGTCCTGACGACGACCGATGTGGCGGTAGTAGCGGCGATGGAGGACTCCATTGCTGGTTGGTGGGTTACGTGCGTGAGGAGGGAGGTGTGAAGATTCAGAGGCGCTAGAAGCTTGGTGGAACGCCAGAGGCCGTCGGGCTTGGCGTGTGCATGTTAATACTTGACAAGGAACAGCTCCTTGCGTGGCCTTTTACATAGGAACGAGTCAGGAGAGCCGGTGCATGGATAGGTCTCAGCTGTTAGGTTGTTACACAAGATATGATCTCTAGAAGATTCACCAACAAACCTTAACAACCTCCAATCTCATGCACCGCACAAGTCCAGGCTCGTTAGTTTAGATTCATGATAACAAACTCTAACACTCCCCCTCAATCAAAACTTCCTAAGTTTAGATTGTTCTTAAACATTTCTAAACTACGGACAGTCAAAGGCTTTGTAAATCCATCTGCTATTTGATCTCGTGTTGAGATATATTCTATGTCAAGAAGTTTCCTTGTTACTCGTTCTCGTACAAAATGATAATCAACCTCAATATGCTTTGTTCTAGCATGAAACACTGGATTGGCCGAAAGATATTTTGCTCCAATGTTGTCACACCATAACTTAGCTGCTCTAGGCGCTAAAATATTTAACTCACATAATAGAGTTTGAATCCACATTACCTCTCTGTTGTTGTTGCATTGGCAAACCGCCTTGTATTCAACTTCATGCTTGATCTTGATACAGAGCTTGCTTCCTTGCACTCCATGAAACAAGATTGGATCCTAAGAAAACCGCAAATCCCCCTGTAGACCGTCTATCATCTTGATCTCCTGCCCAATCTGCATCAGAGAAGGCACTAACAAGAAGAGATGATGATTTGCATATTTTAAGTCCAATTCTCAATGTATGCTTAAGATATCTTAATATCCTTTTTACCGCAGCCCAATGAGTAGTTGTAGGTGCATGTAAATACTGACATACTTTATTAACAGAGAATGAAATATCTGGCCGTGTCGAGTCAAATATTGTAGACCGCCTACAATACTCCCTGTAAGTTGTGGCATCTTTCGCCCCAAAGGAGCTCCCTCATGTGTAGACAATTTTTCCGAGGTGGACATGGGTGACGAACAGTTGCACGCCATCATGTTAGCTCGCTGCAGAACATCTTTTGATACTTCTTCTCTTGAGACAACATAATACCATCATTTATTTTCTTTACCTCAATGCCAAGGAAATAGTGCAACTCCCCTAGATCTTTGAGTGCAAACTCCTTCCTCAGATCCTGTAGCAAACGAGTTGTAGCTTCCTGGGTAGAACTAGCAACAATTATGTCATCCACATAAATAAGAACAAACACAACAACAGACCCCTTCTGATAATAAAACAAGGAAGTATCAGCTTTGGATGCCTTAAAACCCAGTTGGCACAACTTACTGCTCAGCCGTGAGTACCATGCTCTCGGAGCCTGTTTTAGCCCATACAAAGCCTTGTCAAGTTTGCAAATATAACCCTTCCTTGACTTATCCTCATATCCAGGGGGCTGCCTCATATATACCTCTTCTTCTAAAAAACCATGCAAGAAAGCATTCTGTACATCTAACTGACGTAAACTCCAGCCTCTAGAGACAGCAACAGATAGCACAACTCTGATAGTGGCTGGTTTGACAACTGGACTGAAGGTATCTTCATAATCAATGCCATATCGTTGTCTAAACCCTTTTGCTACTAGCCTGGCTTTATATCTATCCAATGATCCATCAGATTTCCTCTTAATTTTGTACACCCATTTACAATCTATAACATTAATCCCTTTCTTAGGTGGAACTAGATGCCAAGTTTTATTGTCAATTAAAACATTATACTCAGCATCCATAGCTAGTTTCCAATCCTTATGATGCAATGCTTCATCTAATGACTGTGGTTCTCCTGATGATGTAAAACATCCATACCTGACCGTGCCATCAGTATAGACCTTGGGCTTTCGAATACCGGTCTGAAGACGAGTCTGATGTCGCACTTCTTGCTGCGCTGCTGATGGAGATGCATCTGCTGCAGAGGATCCTGCAGCCGCTGATGCCGCGCCGGTTGCCGCAGAGGATCCCGCAGCCACCGATGCCGCGCCTGTCGGAGCAGTGGAAGCAGGCAGAGTTGCCTCCCCCGCGCCCGCAACCGATGGGGATTGGGCGGCAGCACGAGGAGACGTCGGCAGGTCGGGCGGCGTGGCCTCCGTGGACTGGCGCGAAGGGGAGGGCGGGGTCGGGTCGACTGCAAGCAGCGACGTGTCGGCCACTGGAGGCACGGAGTCCTGAGGGGATGCGCCGGGACTCATCGGGGGGACAGCGTCTGCGGCGCCCGCAGCTGTTGTCGCCTGGGGAAAAAGTCCCGAGGTGGATAGCCTGGGATCTCACGCCGAATCAACTCCAGGTTCCGTGCCGGAGACACCTGAATCAATATCACATGCTGCACCATTGTTGTTAGCAGGATTACTGGAATCAAACACTTGATCATTTAATTGTTCCGTCCCCAAGGAAATTAGTGAGGCCGATGGATGGAGGAGGGATATTTCAGCCCGAGTCGTGCTCGGCAGATTGCCGTGAAGGGCGGAAAAGGAAAAACTCCTCATCAAAGACAACATCACGAGAAATATAAACACGCTCAAGAAATTTCTAGGCATTTGTAGCCTTTATGCAAGGGACTAGGACCAAAAAAAAAACACAGCGTTTTGACCGAAGCTCAAGTTTATGCTTGTTGTATGGGGCGAAGGTTAGGCCAATGAGCACAACCAAAGATCCGGAAACTAGTGTAATCCGGCTTGACTTTTGTGAGGCGCTCAAGGGGGTTTGCTGATGAATTATCTTCTTTGGGTGTACAATTGATAAGAAAAACAGCCATCATGAACGCCTCATCCCAAAATTTCAGAGGCATCGATGCATGCGCAAGAAGGGAAAGCCCAACCTCAACGATGTGACGGTGTTTGCGCTCTACAACTCCATTCTGTTGATGGGTGTGAGGGCAAGACACGTGATGGATAATACCAATTGTGGAGAAAAAGTTGTGAAGAGTTTGATACTCCCCTCCCCAATCAGTTTGCATAGCTAGGATTTTCCTATCAAATTGTCGCTCTACCATACCTTGAAATTCATGGAACTTTTGAAACACTTCAGATTTATATTTTAGGAAATAAACCCACACAAATTTGCTGTAGTCATCAATAAAGCTCACATAATATTTCTTCCCGCCAATGTAATCAACCGCAGGACCCCAAACATCCGAGTGGACAAGTTCCAAAGGAAATCTAGATGAACTGACAGATCTAGTATATGGAAGTCGATGACTTTTAGCTTGTTGGCAAGCATCACTGCATCTCTCTTTATTTGACTCACTAGAACATGGAAGACTATGATTATTAATAATCCTAGAAACAATCGAAAGGGAAGGATGACCCAAACGACTATGCCATGTGGACATGAAGACTTGTCTCTCTGCATGCGCTACCGCTTTATTGAGTGATCTCAAGGCGGGGGTACAGCCAGCGATGATGGCGCCCTCTAAGGATCGTTCTCTTCGTGGCTTGGTCCTTGATAAGAAAATGATCAGGGTGAAATTCTAGAAAAGCAGAATTATCTTTAGCAAGGCGATGAACTGAAACAAGATTCTTTGAGGCTTTTGGAACATGGAGAATATTATTTAGGTGCAGATCACGGATAGGACTTGGAACAATAGAATGACCAATGTGCTTGATATCCATACCTGCACCAGATGCGGTGTGAATCTGGTCATTGCCATAGTACTTCTCCCGCATAGACAGCTTGTTCAGCTCGCTTGTGATGTGATCTGTCGAGCCTGAGTCTGTGTACCAGTTGGTGTCGACGTTGTAGGCACCCATGGCGATGGCGGCGTTGACGTGGCGCTCTTCTGGGACATAGTTTTCATCGAACCGGTGCCAGCACCGACTCGCACGATGCCCCGTCTTGAAGCAGACCTGGCAGACGGGTGCATCCGAGCCACCCGCCCAGATTTGGCGCCCCCGAGAGCGCCATTGTCGACGCTGGCTGGAACCGGTGCCACACACGCGCGCGCCACGGCCCGCCCAGCCACGACCGGCCGAGGTTGAGAGGCCGGTTGCTTTGGAGCCATTGTTGGAGCAGCGTCTTCTTGGCGACGTTGACAGAGCCGCCGCCGTCTTGAAGTTCAAGACGAGTCTCGTAGTTGAGCAGCTGCGCGTAGAGCTCGGAGACGGTGATCGCCTCGGTCTTGACGGTGATGAAGTCACCACTGGATTGTACTCCGCATCAAGGCCGTTGCGGATGTGTGCCACCAGTTCCTCATCATCCATCTTCTTTGCGCGCCGCCGGTTCATCTGCATAGCCACGCATCTTGGCAAAATAATCTGCCATAGACATGTTACCTTTTCTTCGTAGTTGTGAGAGCAAGCCTCACGTTCATGGTCTTCGCGACGGGTTTGGGCGGAGAACATCTTCTCCAGCTCGCTCCATGCTGCGCGCGCCGTGGTGCATGCCACGATCTGGGCAAATGCCTCCTTCCCCGATCATGGTGAAGAGGAGACCGAGGACCACCTGGTCGTTTGCATACCAGATCCTCATACGCCGGGTTTGGCTTCTTGGTGACGGCGCGCAATGAGCTGCTGCTCAAGCTTCGATCGCCGCCGCGCCGGGTCTTGCCGGTGATGTGTCCTTCAAAGCGCGCATCATGGATGGCGGAGAGCACTGTGCCTTCCATAGCGCATGGTTGGTCTTGCCGAGCTTCTCGGTGATGGTGATGCGAAGAATGGATTTTGGTTGGCGGCGGCGCTTGATCTTGTCGACATGATGGTGAAGCCTAGGCTCGATTACCATGTGAAGATTCGAGGCGCTAGAAGCTTGGTGGAACGCCAGAGGCCGTCGGGCTTGGCGTGTGCATGTTAATACTTGACAAGGAACAGCCCCTTGCGTGGCCTTTTACATAGGAACGAGTCAGGAGAGCCGGTGCATGGATAGGTCTCAGCTGTTAGGTTGTTACACAAGATATGATCTCTAGAAGATTCACCAACAAACCTTAACAATCTCCAA